AATTCTTAGAATCTAGATCAGTTGCTCCCGAGGAGGCCGCGAAGATTAAATTATTCCGATGGTGACCGCAAATCATGGCAAAGAATCTGCGGGTCCCAGTACTGTTTCGGGCTTGAACTACTGAACGGCCATTTATGGGTGCATTGAAAATGGGTATTTGAAGGAAGTTTACTTTAAAAAAGGTTACTTCATACTAACCGACTGATAACTAAGTGTAGAAAAATGCACTACCTGGATGACGACAACCAAAAGAGGCTTGGCGGTCAGTCCATAGCAGTCGACGCTTTTTGGAGCAGCATAAGCGTTAACTTCAGGAGTGCATTGAGAAACCTGAATTACTCGAAAGATGAGACATAAGCGTCCCGTAACTACTACAGCAAGACACTCGAAAGGGGTGGAGGTCAAGGATAGGAGGAGTGAAGTGTCTGTTTGTGATCTGGTGACCGTCGTCTGTCGACAACGAAGGTTAGAATCTTCTAGAATTGACCTTGTGTTTAGGCAGTTTCAAATCCAGCGTCGCATGCCCATGGGTATTTGAGGATATCGCATTGCCAAACGCGTTGTAATCAATTCAGCAGGTAAACCTCTTGATCACTTTTAAGACTGAGATACAGGTTGCAAGGACTATCTCCTAAAGTGGCCTGTGTAGGTAGAATGACGTTCGCAAAAAAGACCAGGCAGACTGGAATGACCATCTCTGCCTTATTTGCTGTATGCTTATAAGGGTAAGAAATCTGATATCACTTCTAGCTATATGTTTCGCACGTTAGGTTTCGTGCCAAAAATAGAAAAACGCACAGGGAAAGTAAATAATTTGATCAAATGCCAGTTTACAGACAATGGAATAACAAACATAGAGTGGGGAATGAGCTAGAAGTGATGTATAGTCGGAGATACGAAAGGGGTCAGTCAACACAGGATGAACAGATCGATGAAAAATATTCACACATTATTGTATTCTTATTGAATTAAAGGCGGATTTTTTTATCAATTTAAAACTTACGGGACATCCTGTGTGCGTTTTCCGTATTTCAGTTTAGACGTGGGGGGAGAGTTGAGTGGAATAATGCGTTGCCGGTATTCGCTCACCTTCTGCACGAAAACGCACTAAGTTGATTATAGTTCGAACAGCTGATTCATTAGGCGTTCGCACAAAGTGGTTATGTTTTACTAATTCAATATCGCTGCTGTCTTGGTAGCCTAGCAGGCCACATGCACATCCATTTTAAGCTCCAGCCTGACAATCACAAGCTAGCCGTTGAATGAAGTTTCGTAAATCTCATAATTGCTTTCCTTCCTTTGAAGTCAGACCAAAACGGCAGTTATTCATAAAAATTTGTCATATTTACCTGAGTCAAAGTTCACTTGCACCGAACTTCGTAGATGCGAAACCGAAGTGTTTCTTCTGCCTCTCATAATGTGCACGTCGCCGTCGTTTTGCACAGAATTCGTGAAATTAGTCAGGGGAAAAGGAGTCTGTGATTTAAACGAAAACGGCATTAAGAGACAATACCTTTATTCGCCAGACGTTTCGACATCCGTCGTGGATTCATCAGAGACATTAGCAGAAAACGGTAGCAAAAACGGGGCTGTACAGTTGTCTTGACAATCACGTGTTG